TGGGGGAGGACCTGGAGGTGGTGAGTTTGGTTAGAAAGCCGCTGTTGGAGCCAGGACAGTGATGGTGATGTATCCTAAGATGGAAGGGGTGGCTGTAGGGAGTGTGGCCGGACAGAGCCACCCAGGGTTGTCTATTTCCTTCTGGAAGCAGAATTTCTAAAGAAAATATGGGTTTTGGCATTCAAGTAACGCTCCAGAAAAATAATATCAATTTATCTTTGGCACTCAGATGGTGAGTTTGGTTAGAAAGCCGCTGTTGGAGCCAGGACAGTGATGGTGATGTATCCTAAGATGGAAGGGGTGGCTGTAGGGAGTGTGGCCGGACAGAGCCACCCAGGGGCCATAGGGAGTGTGGCCGGACAGAGCTACCCGGTGGCCATAGGGAGTGTGGCCGGACAGAGCTACCCAGTGGCCATAGGGAGTGTGGCCGGACAGAGCTGCCCTGGAGACGCCAGCAGGACCGGAGCATGGACCTGGGAGTGTGGCCGGACAGAGCTACCCGGTGGCCATAGGGAGTGTGGCCGGACAGAGCTACCCGGTGGCCATAGGGAGTGTGGCCGGACAGAGCTACCCAGTGGCCATAGGGAGTGTGGCTGGACAGAGCTACCCAGTGGCCACAGGGAGTGTGGCTGGACAGAGCTGCCCTGGAGACGCCAGCAGGACCAGAGCATGGACCCGAGGTGTGGGGGAATACCTAGGCTGACACTGGTGTGGATTCGGGGTGGGCGCTGCAGTGGAGGTCAAGGGTTCAGGTTTGAATTCGCAAAGCTTGAGATGCCACCCAGATGGCCAAGAGGAAATTTTGGGTAGACACACACACACACATCCCTAAGCTGTAAGAGGGCATCGGTGGCCACTGGGATGGATGAACTCTCCCAGGGAGTAGCCCTGGCCGATTTAGCTGAGTGGATACAGCGTCAGCCTGTGGACTGAAGGGTCCCGGGTTTGATTCCAGTCAAGGGCATACGCTCGGGTTGCGGGCTTGATCCCCAATAGGAGGCGTGCAGGAGGCAGCTGATCAATGATTCTCTCTCATCATTGATGTTTCTATCTCTCTCTCCTCCCTTCCTCTCTGAAATCAATAAAAAAATATACATATTTTTAAAAAAGAAATCTCCCAGGGAGCATGTAGAGCGAGCAGAGTCCTGATGAGCTGCGTCTTCAGGTGAGAGAGGGAGAGGGAGGGGAAGCTGGACAAACAGCGCGGCAGCTCCCGAAGGCAGTGAGCGGCACGAGGAAGCCGTCAGCCACGGGAACTAACGCTGCTGAGGTGAGCGTCTCTCTAAAGAGGCTGCTGGACTTGGCGACACGGACATCGCAGACGAACTGAGTGAGAGCCATTTGGAATGAATGGAGACCTGCCTGGGCGGAACGGAGCAGGTGACAGAGGGAGCGGGCACAGTCAGATCTTCAGTGACGCTGGCTCTGAGGGAAGACTAGACAGACAGGCAGAGCTGAAGGAGGGCAGCGAGCGAGGACCTCCTGACTCCTAAAGCTCCCCCCAGGCCAGCGTCCTCCTTCCATCAGCCTGGGCTGACCAGAGGGTTCGTTCCCCTCCAGCTCTAGAAGGCGATTCATATGGGCTCCTCATCGGCCTTAGCTTCCCCTCCTCCATCCTTGACATACGACCCCATTTCTGTTCAGAAACCTCTTGGGTTGGACTCTACGATCCAAAACTCCCATCATAAAGGTCCATGTCCTACTGAAAGCCCCGTGTGCCCGAGAGGTCTGAAGGCATGGATACCGCCTATACTCCCACCTCAACCTGGTCTTTTCCAGACCACAATGTCCAAGGACTTCCCCAACACATCCAGCCCCCCTTAGAACCCCCTTTCCCACAGTCTCCACTTGGAAGCTCCACTCCAGCCGCGCCCCCTCCCTTGCATTTGCTGTTTTCCCTTCAGAATCAGTCTTCCTTGCCCAGTGGAATCTTGTCCAATCCAGTCCAGTCCAGTCCGGTCCTTACACCTCCAGAGAACCCTGCCCGGTGCCCAGCCTCTCCGGCATCCCCCCACCTCTCACATTGAGGAGCAGGGAAGCTGCCCACAGACTCCAGAATGCCGGAGGCCCTCGGAAACTCGGGTTTATTGACGGGGTGGGGAGGGGCTGGGGGGGTGGAGAAAAGCAGGGACCCTTCCTCACCAACGATGAGACCCGCATCACCATGGCTGCAGCGGCAGGGTTCACGACACAACGGGGCGCACGAGTACTCCCCGTCCTGCCTCTACAGAATCATCTGAGCAAGTCCCATCACTTGACTTCAAGTTCAAGTTAAGCTCCGACCATCATGATCATCAACTATTTCAGGACCCTATTCTTGGAGATGTTGAAAATTTAAACCACAAAAGTTCACGTTTTCTATTAAGCCATAGATAGAGTTTTCTTGCCGTTCTGAGTTGTGGATTTCCTCAACTTTTCAAATATCGAAAAGGCAGCTTTCTAAACCCAGTCCTCTCATCCTATCATGCTTCGTGTAATAACAAGCACACTGATTGCACACGGGTGCCGGGGTTTTTCCACTCAAGGTGCCGGCTTAAGTGGACATCAAACCCAGCAGACTGCAGCGACTCATGTCATATGAGCTCCCACTAAAAAGTTGACACTGGCCAAGTTTTCAGGCATCAGCATTTTGTGGAAATTGGTTCAATCAAAGCTGGGCTCCAAAGTGGCCTTAAACAGAGCAATTACTGCAGCCACACAGAGGCGGGCGGAATCTGGACACAGATCCATAATAACAGCCTTTATGACTTCTTGGGGACTGTCCTTGCTCCCCTGCATCAACAACTTGAAAACCAACAATCTTAAAATGCCAAAAGTAGCAGTTTAACGGCAAAAGCTTCCCCCAATCCGAAGGTGCGAACTCCGCAAGGAAGGTCAGGGAACCTGTGCCCCTCAGCCTCAGTGCTGGCACCAATTCCTGCCCATTAATGTCAGTTCCAGCATGGACACACCCTCCACAGAGTCCAGGAAGTTCAACTCCCACGTCTGTTTACATCTCACCTGGACTTCTCCTGAAGTCGGATACACTTTCTTTTATGGGAAGAATTCTTTATGTATTTGCCTTTGATTTGCTTAAGACCGTGGTCGGCAAACTGCGGTTCGCGAGCCACATGCGGCTCTTTGGCCCCTTGAGTGTGGCTCTCCCTAAGCCTTAGGAGTACCCTAATTAAGTGAATAACAATGTACCTACCTATATAGTTTAAGTTTAAAAAATTTGGCTCTCAAAAGAAATTTCAATCGTTGTACTGTTGATATTTGGCTCTGTTGACTAATGAGTTTGCCGGCCACTGGCTTAAGAGACCAAGGTAACTAAGAGTCCTGGCTGTGTGGTCTTGGGAACCTGAGGCTGTTTCTGTTCAGTCCCTCTGGCCTCCTCTACAGGGGCCCCAGACTGCGATCACTGCCCCCCAGCCCCCATCAAGGATACACTGCCTGCAGGGCCAGGCCGGTCGGCAGAAGGGAGGGCGCCCTTGCCCTGTCTGGGCCTTTCTCTGACTGGAAAGAACAGGTTTCTAAAAAACAAAGTAAAACAAAAACCAGCTTTAAGAGACACATGTATTCAAATGTAATCATTCTTTTGAGGGTGTGTCTGTTTTTAAATGATGTGATTCACCCAAAATAATATGTCCCCCATTTCTCATCCAGCCGCCTTTGGGGAGAACACGGGGTGTGGAGGCACGAAGGGCCCGCTCTCACACACCTTCAGCACTAACACACTTTCTCCTGCCCTGAGTTTTTGTGCTTGAAAAGTGCAAACTCTCTCGGGGAGGACGGGTGACCTGTCAGCGTTTCTTTTAGCACCTCCGACTAGTGTGAACTGCCATGCTAGGAGTGCAACAGGGAGCCTGCAGCGGCTTCGGGAGGGTGGCTTGACCCATATCCACACTCCATGGATGAACCTGGGGATTCTAGGGTTTCGGATTAATAAGTGAAATGAGGCTGACTTCCAGAAAAGTGGTTCCCTATAGGCTGCAAGCTAATTAGGGTGCCCCGGACCTGCCCTGGAACAGCCGGTATAAGGCAGGCCCAACCCTTTCAGCCTCTGTAGCTGCCATCCGCTCAGAGTCTGCTTCTGAAAGGAGGCCGGCGAGGAATTAGGAAAATTTAGTAAATAAGAGAACCCGAGACGCCACCGCACCAGCCTGCAGTTCCGCCCTGGTGGCCAGGGAGTCTCAGAGGCCGCTGGACCCGGCACGCGCCGAGCGGCGCTGCTGAAAGGAGTTGGAGAGCTCCCAGATTCGGCGGTGGGAGCCCTCCCAGCGCCGCAATTAGGAAAGTTCTGGAGTAAGTTAAGACCACGGAGCACAAAACGCACAGCGTGCGGAGCCAGCAGGAGCCGCTCGCACAGGCCACCAGCCCTGCACTGCCTGACGCACCCGGTGCCTCTGCTCCCGCTGCCCAGAACTCATCCAGAGGGCGCCCAGCCAGGCGGGCGGTTCTGCCGGGTTTGCGATTCCAGATGGAAATGCCTCCAGGCTTCCTGGCCCTGGGGAAAGGGCTGGATTTCAACAGTCAAAGGAACAGGGCAGAACCACTCAGTCCCGCTCGGACGCCCGGGACCTGCTTCGCCAAAGGACGCGCGGCACAGCCCATGCGCCCCCGCACTCCACTCCTCTTCTCTCTCCACAGGTCCCCCTAAACTCTTCCTGGAAAGCCCCCCAAACCACAGACGACGCCCCGAAACTCCCAGGGCACTGGCCAGCCACCCCCACCCATCTCTCGGACACTCCTTGCCGCGTTCTCTCCGCCCCGCACCGTCTCCTCGCATTCGCGGGGAGTCAGACGCAAACCACGAGAAACTGCTTCGCGAGGAGCCTCCCTACGCCCGCCCAGTCACTGAAACAAAAGCGCAGGGAGGGGGGAGGTGGAAGAGGAGGCGGGAGGAAGGTTTAGACAGAGGATGGGGAGAGCAGAGAGAAGGAGCTGGGAGGAGGTCGGGGTGGGAGCAGAGACGGGGCCGGAGGGAGACCCGCTCCCGTCCCGCGCGGCCGGTCGCTTACATGCCCAGGTCGCTGTAGGTGTTGAAGAACTCCATCTGGTTGCACGCCTGGATCCAGCCCACCACCCAGGTCTCGTGGCGGGGGATGGGGGGCATGACCACGCGGGCCGAGGCTTTGAAGTAGGGGGTCTTGTAGCGCAGGACGATGGGCGAGGTCTCCTCGATGCGCGTGGGGCACTGGTCGATGGTGGCGCACACATCGTACACCACGATGTTCTCGCGCCTGATCCGCGCCTTGCAGGTGATGCT